GAACTAACTAGATGAGAGCTGACATGGTTATTTGCACAGGCCCGGGTATATACTCTTGTTTTGTGTTTTTTTTTTTGCATTGGTGGTTTCTTGTAAGTATTGTTATATCCTGTTTGCTTGTTATGGCAGGGTCTATGCTAATCGAGTGCTCCTCTTTCGTTGTGTTCAGATGCTCAAGATCTGGCGACACCTAGTGACGCTCTGGGAGCAGGGCCAAGGCAACACCGTTCTCTACGAGTACACAGAGTTTCTCAGGAACGACAGCATCGCCTTCCTGGGACTGGAACATGAGCTAGACGTGTCGTTTTTCGTGGACCGGGCTCGGACAGCAGCGGCAGCGGCCGCCGCCGGTCCGCCGTCCCCCGCCGCCGGCTCCAGTCCTCCGCGGAGTCTGAACCGGCGCGCCAGCGTGGAGCAGCTGCGAGCGCGCTACCGGCTGACGCTGCCGGCCTCGGCCAGCGTGCACCGCCTGCTGGAGACGCACCAGCGGCAGGCCGAGGCGGCCGAGTTCGGCCGGCGCCGGTTCCCCTGCAAGGTGTGCGGCGAGGAGCGCGCCGGCTCGGACTGTGTGCGTCTGACGCGCTGTGGCCACGTCTACTGCTGCGACTGCCTCACCGCCTACTACACCGTGCTGATCAGGGACGGAGAGGTGCAGAACCTGCGCTGTCCGGAGGACCAGTGTCCTGAACAGGCCACCCCTAAAGAGGTGAGTGGCTGGAGTCCAGCGGAGGAGGGAAGGGGGGGGGGGAGAGAGCAGCGTGCACGTCTTTATAGTGGAGCTGTGCGCTTACAGAAAAGGTCGTAAAATCCTTCGCGGGATATTACTACGAGTTTCAAATCGTCTCATTTCAATTTCAGTCTGTTGAATTTCTTCGAGCTCCCACCGTGGACTGCTTCTCTTCCCGGTTCTATCACTGACCGCTCCCCAGGTGCGGGACCTGGTCGGTGACGACCTGTTTGAGCGCTACGACACGATCCTGTTGCGGACCAGCCTGAGCGCCATGACCGACGTGGTCACCTGTCCGCGGGCTCACTGTCAGGTACGGACGGTCATTTGTTAGCAAGGCTACTGTCAGGTACTGTCTGAAACGTCCTGTAACCCCGACCGCTAGAGATAACGACTTATTCCACTAACCGCAGGTAATTTTTATAAGAAAAAGGTTCATTGCTTCTCAAAGAGCCTTCTTGGTGCCCTATCCCCGTCAGTGTGAGGAAGAAAAATATGTAATCCACCCGAGGCCTGGATTTCCAGAAGTCCTTGGTTCCTTACCGATGTGTGTACCCATGAGCAAAAGTGCTTATGGACTCTCCCCCTCCGTGCATTTTCAGAAGCCCGTGGTACTGGACCCGGGGGACAGCCTGGGACGGTGCGCACACTGCGACCACACCTTCTGCGCCATCTGCCAGAACGCCTACCACGGAAACAACCCGTGCGCAGTCAAGAGCGGTCAGTATGCGAGACACTGGGGGACGAACCTATTGGAGGTCCGCTTAGGGCTAGCCTTATCCGGGTTTTACCAGTCCTTGTGTTTTATCATTTTTAGTCGCACGTTGGGATAATGTCGCCACGATGTCCTCTGGTTCACATGCACTGACGACACTTCCGTTTTGTCACTGGCTGAGGGGGATTAGGAGGTCAAAATTGGGACAGGATCGGTGAGGAAGGCGACAGTCGCTGCCTGATCAGAGATCCTCAGTGGCGAGGGCGCCGTGAGCAGACAGATATACCGATACTTCGACGCCTCGATAGCGAGGTTGGCCGAAGCCGACTGGCCGCACCCCTTGTATTGAAAGAGGTCCCTTTCCCCGGTCTCGATGGCGAAACACGGGAAAAGAGTTCAGTCCTCGGTATTTCGCTGGCGAAACACCGATGGCCGCCAGTGCCTCACACATTCCAATGAGCTGAAAAAGACCTAGGTCCCCGGAAGTAGGGGGGAGGGGCACAGTCACGCGTTTGTGGCCCGCTGTCACTCCTCCACCTTCCGCCACTTCCGTCTCTCACTTCTCGTCACAGCCACTGAGTTAAACCACTGAGGATTTACGGGCACTTCTCACAGCTCACTCCAGAGTTCAGCTCCATTCCGCCCCCCACCAGACAGCATAACACACTAAACCCGCCAATGGCTCACCCGCCCGAGATCAGCTCGCTGGTGCCCTGCGGCGCGGGACACCAGCGACCAATCAGCGCGCTCCCCGCACATGACCTCACCCGTGTAGACACGCCTCGGGCGCCACGTGGCCCTAGCGGCCGGCTCGGCAGCCACGTGGGCGACTCGGCGGCTATCGGTCAGCAGCGGTCGGTGACAATAGGTAACATTGGATCACGCTTTTTTATCTATATTCATTTTCAAATTTCAATTATGACCCATTTTACATTTTAGCCTAGTCCGCCTAGAGCCCTAGACGCACCTACACCCCACACGGTTCTTTCGTGATGCTTCCCGACGGATCAGCTGCTGTCCTTGTATCCAGCCGTCCTTTGTGTATCCATTGCCTACCTTGTGCCCCCGCCCCTGTCTGACGCTCCCCTGTCCTTCAGCTGAGCGCCTGGAGCTGGTGCGCCAGTACCGGGTGGCCGGTGCCGGCGAGCGCGCCGACCTGGAGCGGCGCTACGGCCGCCGGCAGCTGCAGCGTCTGGTCGAGGAGGTCGACTCGGCCGCCTGGATGTCAGACCACAGCGAGCGCTGTCCGCGCTGCCGCACTCCTATCGAGGTGGGTCCACCGACGGGGCACGTAACCGTGGTGGCTCTCACTCCGATCGAGATGAGGTGACGCGGCCAGCACATCTGATTCGTAATCTGAATGTAGCCTGGTAATTTGAAGGCAGGCTGTTGCTTTTGCCGTCGTAGTGTTCTAAGTTTGCTATAACTTTTTAGCTTCTCGTCAGGTGACACAGCACTGGACCCGTCTCGCTAGTTGTAGTCTATGTAACCCACCAATATTAGCTCTATCGCAAAACAACAGAATCAACAGTCAACATCCAAGCTCCACGGAGATGTGGTCTATGTCTCTCACTGGGCTATTTGACCCCACTCGGCTCGTTGCTTTGATCCGGTGACAGAAAAGCGGTGGCTGCAACAACATGTTGTGTATAAAATGCGGTGCACTCTTCCGCTGCGTCTGCAATAGAAGTAACGTAACGGCCGAAATCCATTAGTTTGCAGCACAGTTTTCCTTATTCCGTAATACGAGATATTTGGTGCGTGTGCTATTATTTGATTAAGCATGCACCGATACAGTGAAACCGATTTAAACAAAATCACCCGTCCGTTTAACGTTAGTGTGTCCTGGTTGATGTGATTCTAGGTAGTCGATGCCGTTACTTTTTTACGTTACTTCTAAACTACACATCATTCGCATCACATTACACTTGCTCAAACGGCCAGCGCAGCACTCGTTTGTCACAACAGACACAGCGTTTCACGGCCGCCTGGTACCGCAGCGTCCACGGAAATTCCCGACTGGGGCCCCGCTCGCCCCTCCGCCGGGTCACGTCACGTGACCTGTGGCCTCCAGCCGTCCGGTGCGGGTCGCCGGTCATTGACCAATCAGCGGCCGCCACGAGCACGGCGGGTCACACGGCTTCTGGTGGGACGGCGCGGTGGTGGCACTGGCGATGGCCTTGGCCTTGAATAATTTTTGAATTTGGAAAAGTGGTCACTGGTAATGAACCTAATTATCTGTGAGTGAAAGCTCGCTTAACATTTTTTTTATGAATCACAATTTATCAATCAAATTATTTTTAAAAAAACTATTTTAGATAAGAGGGAGAGCAAAAAACGGTCAATTTAATTTCAGGTGTCCCCACTTCCTTTGAGTCCAATGGAGTTGCGTTCAGCGACACACTGGCTCACATAATCCAGCTTTTTGACCTTTTATTCCGACCGTGCGGCAGAAAATCGACGGCTGCAACAAGATGTCGTGCACAAAATGCGGCACACTGTTCTGCTGGCTCTGCAACGCGCGCCTGCCGCGAGAGAACCCGTACACGCACTTCAACGTGCCGGGTAGCAAGTGCTTCAACCAGTTGTTTGCGGGTGTGGTGGACGGCGCACTGTTGGACGTGGAACTGGGCGCGCTGGCCTTCGACGAGCTGGGTGAGGAGGAAGACTTGCCCATGGGCTTCTTCTTGTGAGCTGGAAACAAACGGCTGCTTGGTGGTGACATGAGCAGCTTCAGTGGATGCAAACCCGCAATATGATTAGAAGTTTATGATCGACAATATCAATTTTTGTTTGCTTATCCAATTGGGTATTGGGTATCTATTTATCGTGTTGTTTTTACTACTAGACCAGGCCATTATTTACTACAGCGAGGCGGCGTTTGGGTTCTGTGTATAGCTTTGTTCGTCTGTATGGCTGTGTGCAGGGAAGCGGGAGTATCTTACCACAGGATGTGGGTCCTATGGCTGCTGTGGATTCGAGTCCACCTCTCAGGCATCGGGTTATCAGGGCAGATGTGTGCCAAGGCCATGACAGAGGACGAAACAAGACTGTCACCATGTGACAGAACGAGCGAGGTCATGCTTTGCACCGAGTGCCTTCCTTCTTCTTTCTTGCAAAGGATGACATGTCCTAATATTATAGCCCATAAGCAGTGAGTCGTGCGGTTTTGCATCGATTAGCGGTATTCACATTGAATATAAAGTAAAAGTGTAAAGTAAAGCGTTGTGAATATGACGAGTTTCGTTCGTTAACGAAGACTTGCGGCTGTGCAGAATGTTTCCGTGGTTAGGCGGACGCGCAAGGTGCGCCATAGTTTCTGTACATAGAGAACTTGTGTGAACAAATGAACAAATGAATCTGATCGTTGCAGTTGGTGTTTCTCAGAGTCTTGAAGTCATACACAGGGAGATCTTAAAATGGCGAGAGGGAGAGACCTTCAATGTAATGGATTATGTTTCTCAGTCCGTTGCAACACTAAAAGTAGCTTCAGCTTGGTCAATGGTCAGTGGTTTATAACTCATACTCATTTCAGAAACGCTAAAACGTAAACACTAGTTCGTGCTTGAACGTGTATTTATTCATGTGCAACGCTTAAGGTTCATTGCAAATGCAATTTGTAACCCATTGCAATTAGCATCAGCGTGCAAGTAGCGTGCATCTATCCCGGCGCTCGTTAGCACATCGCGTCAAACGCTCGCCAATCAACTTACCACTACCTAGTGCTACCACACAACTGGAAACCGGAATGCCAATTAGCAGGGCCGGCTTCATTACAACGTAGCTGAACGCTGATCATCCGACTTACAACTAAATGATACAAGTAGGCAGGTGCGTTTGATAAACAAGTGGTGCATTGGTGCGGAGGTGCATTAGTGCGGAGGTGCGTTGGTGCCAATCACTCACTCGTGCGATAATCGGTGCAGATCATGTGCCGCGTGCAAATTCACACAGTGCAGGGTGCAAAGCAGATAAACTGCCAATAAATACTATACTCGTACGTGCTTTCGCTAGTACCTACGTGTGCTCACACAGTGCAAAACCTAAAAACAGCAAAATTACAGCGTGCTATGCTCATCGACGGAGCATCACGCGGGTCACACCAGGCAAGCAATCGGCGTTATCATATAGACAAAGCTACGTCATCATCATTTTGATGAGGTCGGTGAAGTCGTAGATCTGCGCCCGGCCGGGTGCGTCGGGCACGACGCCGCTGTACTTTGAGAGGTCGCCGTGGGGGGCGCACCAGCAGCGGTACTGGCCGGGGCCCAGCGGCAGCACAGCGACGAACGGCTGCACGCCGGCCGGCTGCATGGCGCACTGCGCGGCGCAGCCGGCCGGGTGCTGCTGCTGCGCGTCCACGGCCGTCCACTGGCCGGGCGGGCCGGCGGCCGCGTCCACCGCCTCGGCCGTGTAACCGCACTTCTGCAGCACTGCCGGCGGCGGAGAACTCAGGTCAACGGGCTGGTGCGACTCCTTCTCTTGGACATCACTCTTGTGGGAGCGCTCATGATATTTGTAAACTCAGATGAGCCTTCGCCAGGCTACGTATTTTCGAATCAACACTCTATTCGATGGTCAATTGCCGCTTTACCAGTGCAGTGTAGCTCGAATTAAGGCGCTCGTATAATAAGTTTGGTAGGTCATTACATTCTTACCATTGCCAACGATGAACCTGAAGTAGTTTGTCTTCGGATTCTGGAAGATCTGCATCAGTTTCGACCCTGCAGAAATATGTGGTTGACATTATTTGACCTTTGAGAGCGTAGGTATTGCATAAGTATAACCCAATATAGCAATGAAAAAACGATCCAGATATGCACACTGTGACCTGGCTTTTACCGTCATGGGTCAAGCGAACTTCTTCAAACCGTCGTGGAAAGGTTATAGAAATATTAAAATAGAACACACACACAAGGCGAAGTTATTTTCCTTTCTTATTTGGTGTCTTTGCAACCACCGGAGGACGGGAAAGCCGCTCAAACACAAAGTGCCGGTAAAACCACTGTTGTGCAATGTACATTTCTTGGGTCTTATAAGAAGGATTTCTGGATTCCTCTGCAGCGTTGGATAGACATCAGTAAATCAGGAAGTTGTACCATCTCGCCAATATATGCAGCGCCGCTCCATTGCGTACTAACCATCCGGCTTAGGCTGGTACTCGGTGGTGTCCATGACGGTCAACACGTCTGCGTCCTCCGTCCAGCGGTCCTCCAGCGCCATGTCCAGGTCCGAGCAGAAGCAGTGCCCCTTGTTCAGCGCCGCCCACTTGAAGAACTGGGACTCACACTCCATGACGCATCGGATAGGATTGTCGCCGGGCGCGCCCAGACTGACAGCCTGCACCTTCTGGAGTGCCGCCACCCGACTGAACTTCACCGGCGCCGGCTCTGCCGGGACGAGCGCGGGTCAGCCGAGCTCGCCGGTTGTCACTCCTGAGTGACTCAGTGAGGTGAAGATGAAATATTATGATGTATCGAGTATCGACAAAACAATCTGACTACATCAAGCGTCAGACAAATCGAAAGAACGCTGTTATGCATTGATTGAGTAATAAAGTTTAGGTTTAATATTGGGGATTAATTCATGCATTTACATATCGTGTTACCATACCGTTATCCATGAGGATCCTGCAGAGAGTGGGTGTCATCCACTCCGCCTGGATTGCCGGGGCGTGGTACCCGCCTGTGAGCACAGAAAGTTACGTCAACGCAAACAATGCTAGGCTATTTTAATTTATCGCACTAATAAGGCTTGAGGCTGTATTGCTTTCTCACTGGTTTTAAGCATCCCTAAAGGGTAACATACAGGTTTATCAGTAGCGGCGGAACACCTTCAATTAAGGGGGGGGGGCACCGCCGACTTTAGGTCCCATTCTTTCCATGCAACTTCCATAGGGCTAATGTTAAAATGCCCAAATCAAAGGGGGGGGGGGGCACGGTGCTCCGGTGACCTCCCCGTTCCGCCGCGAGCTAAATTAGAAACCATTGCATCCATGGTATAAGCACTTCGATGTAAAGAAAGTTGGCCTACCCGTCGGTTTTCATCGTGTCCACCCCGCAGCGCGCCGGGCGGCGTCACTCACCAACGTCACCGCCGCCGATGACGCCGCTGCCGGTCACGGCCGGCGGCGCCGGCAGGCGGACCACCTGCATGCTCCCCGCGCTGGACGGAGGGCTGGTGTCCGTCAGACCGAGATCACCGCCCGCACGCAGGTCGCCACACAGACACAGCCGGTCGCTCGACGAGCGGACCAGCGCCAGCGAGAAGCGCAGGCCGCAGCAGCGGGCCACACACTCGGCCGGGCTGTCCAGGAAGGTGGTGGGCAGCCAGCGCACTGATCCGGGCACCGTGTCGGTAAAGTAGCTGACCAGCGGCGACGGCTGACTGTCTCCTGAAACGGACACGGACACGGGGGCAGCTGATAAGTAGGTATAATATTTTTTAGGAACTTAAGGTGTCGGCTCCGCGGTGACTTTGACTGCTTCATGACTTCAGTTGCTGTTTAAATGTTAAATGCATAAATGAAGATGTGCTCACCTGCCATTGCTATAGAGAACCGTTCATAGCCGTTCGCGAGGCTCTCCGAAATGACATCGACAATTCCGCCGTAGGAGAAGTGACTCTTCTGGCCGACCCGGAGTCCCTCGAGGTTGAACAGCTGGTACATGCCGGCCACGTCCGGAGCGCTGTGCTGCAGGCTGGAGAGATCGGCGGCCGGCGCGCCCCAGCACGCGGTCGTGTCGCCCTGCACGCGCACGGCCATGAAGAGGAGGCTGTGGCGCGCGCAGGCGGCCAGACAGTCG